AAAAAAAAAAAAAAAAAAAAAAAAAAAAAAAAAAAAAAATTGTATCTAGTCTCAGCCATAGACCAGGGGGGTCCGGCGTTTTGGGAACGCCGGACCCTCAGGATCAAAAAATTCCGACTGGATTTTGGCAAAAAAAGTCAGTTTTGATTTCCTTCAAAAAATATAATATGTCCGTTTTGACGAAATGACTATTATGCTTGATGTGATGTTCCGGATCTTACTTAGATGATCTCTCCTCCAATTGTATGTGCTCTCCACTAGCTCTAGCTTCTCATTTTCATGTTCATACTTGATGTGATGTTTCGGATCTTACTTAGTTGATCTCTTCCCTATGTGCATGTGTTTTCCACTAGTCTAGCTTGTCATTGTCGTGTCCATGTGTGTTGAGATGTTCCGGATCTTTCTTAGTTGATCTCTCCTCTATGTGCATGTGCTTTCCATTAGTTCTAGCTTCTCATTATCATGCTCATACTTGATGTGATGTTCCGGATCTTACTCAGGTGACCTCTTCTCTATATGTATGTCCTTTCCACTAGTTCTAGCTTCTCATTGTCATGTTCATGTGTGTTGAGATATTCCGGTTCTTACTTAGATAACCTTTCCTCCATGTGCATGTGCTTTCCACTAGTTCTAGCTTCCCATGATCATGTTCATGTGTGTTGAGATGTTCCGGATCTTACTTAGTTGATCTCTTCTCTATGTGCATGTGCTTTCCACTAGTTCTAGCTTCTCATTGTCACGATCATGCTTGATGTGATGATCAAGATCTTACTTTGTTGATCTCTTCTTTATGTGCATATGCTTTCCATTGGTTCTAGCTTCTCATTATCATGCTCATGTGTGTTGGGATGTTCCGGATCTTACTTAGTTGATCTCTTCTCTATGTGCATGTGCTTTCCACTACTTCTAGCTTCTCATTGTTAAGATTCATGCTTGATGTGATGTTCCGGATCTTACTCAGTTGACCTCTTCTCTATATATGTGCTTTCCACTAGGTTTAGCTTCTCATTGTCATGCTCATGTGTGTTGAGATGTTCCAACTCTTACTTAGATGACCTTTCCTCCATGTACATGTGTTTTTCACTAGTTCTAGCTTCTCATTGTCAAGTTCCAGCTTGATGTGATGTTCCGGATCTTTCTTAGTTGATCTCTTCCCTATATGCATGTGCTTTCCACTAGTGTAGCTTCTCATTGTCATGTTCATGTGTGTTGAGATGTTCCGGATCTTACTTAGTTGATCTCTCCTCTATGTGCATGTGTTTTTCACTAGTTCTAGCTTCTCATTGTCAAACTTCATGTATGATGTGATGTTCCGGTTCCTGCTTAGTTGATCCTTCCTCTATATGTATGTGTTTTTCACTAGTCTAACTTCTCAATGTCAAGTTCATGTATGATGAAGTGTTCCAAGACATACTTATTCAATCTTTCACTATGGGATGGGTGACCGACATTTGGCTGCTACTACGGGGAACTGATTTGATTAGGAATAAAAGTTCTTCCTCTCTCTTTTTTTTTTTCTTTCTTTCTCTCTCTCTCTCTCTCTCTCTCTCTCTCTCTCTCTCTCTCTCTCTCTCTCTCTCTCTTTCTCTTCTACTCCTCTTTTTCCCTCCCTCTTCGCCTTGTCCTCTCTCTCTCCCTCTCTTCCCCTCACTTGGCATATGACTAACCCTTCTCCCCTCACTTGGTACATTGTCAGGGTGCGAATGGTAAGAAGAGATCAGACCTCACTTGGTGGAAAAAGAGGGCAAGGGGAAGGTAGTCGGTCCCTTGTGCCACCAAGAAGGCAAAGGAAAGGGCGGTTGAGAAAGTGAGAAAAAGAGGCGGAATCCGAAGGAGAGTATAAGCGAAAGCAAGGTCAATTTGACTCAACCATTTCCCCGACTGCATGACTATGAGAAGGGGATGGGCTGATAGAGCAAGGAAAGGGAACAAAGAACAGCCAAAGAACATGAAAAAACTAGGCATGTGGGAGGGGCTATGTGTTGACCCGCAACCGGGGATTGCATGAATCTTTGCTTTGTGTGGGATTGCGCAGGTAAGTGGAGGCTAAGGATGCCTTGAGCGGGATAGGGCCGGGAGGAACTGGGCATCAAAATGAAAAGGGAAGAGGGGCAAAGGGCTATGAGACCTTAGCATAAAGCCAATCTATGGAAATGACCTTTGCATTTGAGAAGTGGAGTGTAAATGAGGAAATGGAGTACGATCTTGCCAAGGGGAATGAAAAAGTCATGTGTGCATGCATGTAAAGGCCCCGAAAAGACTAAGGGGTCTGTTTCAATAAGTTGAATGTGAATTATGAGACCCGAGGGGTGCATAGAGGCGAGGGGGAGGATGGCTTCGCCGCACCCCGATGACGCCATAGGAACACAAGGTTTAGGGAAATGGTGCGCGGCCTAAGGATGACGCTTAGCCTGCGCACAAAGGAAGAAAAACTCTCAAAGAACCCCTGGACTGCCTGCGTATTGGAAGGAGCAATTGCTTGAGCACACAACAAAGAATCAAAAAATATCAGCGCTACAGACTGACCAGCGAGACTACCACCCGGCGTGAGGGCTGAGCTACATCCCCAATGTCAAAGCTCTCTCGCGCGATGGCCCACCCCCATCCATCTCACCTTGGGACGAATGGTCCGCGCCCTGAGCATGAGCGTGGGCGGGCCGAGCCAACTGGGACCCGCAGTGAGGTCGACTAAGGCTCGAAAGTCTACCGGGGTTTGACCCTACAAAAATGGTGGAGGTGACGGGCAAGGGTTAAATTGACCCTTGCGATTCTGACGGGGGCGCCCGACGCATTGACGTGTACACAACTCAAGACAAGGAAAACGGACTTGTTTTTGCTCTTTCCCTTGTGAGAATCAGATTTGAGAGTGGCTAGGCGCATGGCATGGCTAGACCTGGAGGTATAACATGCATGCTATGCACTTGATCAACCGTTCCCTTGTGGAATGGCTCTAGCCCTCCTTCGTCTGGTGCTGGTGCTCGCCAGCCGGGGAGGCCTTGGGCAAGTCGCAGGTCGACCCTTCCTCTTCGTATGAAAGAAGGGCTTCAGTTACCTGGCAGGCGGTTGGTGTTTCGGCTTAGGCTGGGTTCCAATGAAAATCCCGCGGCGGAGTGATCCGACCGACCGGGTACCCTTCTACCTTCTTCTTCGAGCCCAGTGGGCTCATGCACTTTGTACTTTTTTTTGAAATGTTTGAAGGAACCAACATGAACACAACGGATCATCAAGAAGGAACAATCCCGCCCTATGAAAGGACAGACAAATGGAGAGAAAGGGAATGAAGGGGTTTGCTAGACTCCAAGGAAAACTAGCTCACCTTTGAAGACTCTCACGAGAAGGAACCAACCACTATGTATGAAAATGGGGGGAGTAGCACACATTGTCCTGAGAGAAAATTGTGAGTTACGGGTAGGAAGCGCTGAGTGCACCAAGGGAAAAACACTTGTACTATGTGTGTCTCACTTGGGACTTGTGTTTGCATGATGGGATTTTAGTGTCCCGCCTTTCAGAAGGAAAGGATTGGTCTGCACCGACCGGTGCAGGTTGCGAAACGCCGCTCTCTTTTTGTAGGTTGCCGTGTGTTCGTGTGTGGAGGTCAGGCCACCGAGCTGTCGGACGAGAGTTTGTCACGCCGGTTGATTAGTAGCATCCTCGTTCGAGCGGTGACGAGCTTTGGCTCGATGATCTGCCGGGCGGGGTGCGAAACGTCTCCTGAGGCGGAGCTTAGCCTATTGGCTGGCGGGGGAAGTACCACTGCATACGGACAAAGACGGAGCCTCAAAGACGATTTGTAGCTTCTCGTAGCAGGGTTTGGGAAAGGCTGATTCTTGTCGGACCGATGGAAGTGAATGCCCGGACGACTGACTTTTGTCCCTGTATTTAGGCACATGGGGTAACCCTCGGTGTTGGTATGGATGTGCAAAAGCTGCAAGACGGGATGGGGTATTCTAGGCACAAGGAAAGGGCTAACGACTTGCCGGAGCTTGGGTACCGCGCTCACGACGGTTGAGCTGCGCTTGAGGTATGGGATAAAAATCTACCAATAGTACCAGCGGAGAGACCATATTGGAAAAATGTCTGTGAGGAGATGACCGGCCCGCATGTGAGATTGCCTGATTTTTTTATGTGTTCCCCCTCTGTAAAGATTGATTGAGCTTGGATTGTTGGACGGAAAATATTTCTAAGTCTATCCCCCCCCCATCTAAGTCCACACGAGTGAGAGATGATCGGAAGGAAGGAGGATAGAGGTCAGCTGGAATGAAACCAAGAGAAAGAATATGGGAAAATGGATGGCCGACCGAGGGTATCATGGGAAGAAGATACTTATGAATGGGGAGGTAAATTAGGGAGACCTTGATGAGGGGTCTGAAATAATTCCCATCTAGGACGAGGGTTGACCTGGCCTGAAGGACCGTTTGATACTCTCTTAATAATGGAAACAAGGGTCGGGTGCTGGAAACAAGATGGCACGATGATTGCCTTCCCCGATCTATACCAGCGGCCGGAAATGCCAGTAGATGTAAGGGATGCGGTATCGGTCGTCCTCCCGGAAGATGGGACGTGGACGGACCTTGAACCAGCGTATCAAACGACAATGCTGGAAGGGGAGGACGCTTTCCTTTGGATACAGACAGTATGGACTAATGTCAGCTTGACAAGGTTGTCGCCAATCTTAATGGATCTGGAGTTTCGAGGGACAGTGGAAGCCCGGGGGTGGGTCTACTTGTCGCAAGATGGGGAGAATGCTATGGTCATAGAATTGGCATTCGGGAATACGCCGGACGAATTGTTTAGGAAGGCAGAAGCGGAGGTTGTATAGACTGTGTGTCAGTGGAGGGAAATGAAAATGGAAAGGGTAGATGTGCGGATGGAACTTGGGGATAGAGGAAGCATGAGGCGACCCGTCAGAACCATGCGATGCGTGCTGCTTCCCTTCCTGGTGGAGGCAGTTTTCGGAACCCGGAGCAGGCTAGTACAGATATGTCAGCCCATGACGAACCTCGGACTATACGAGTGCGCTAAGCAAGACTTCTTTCGGTTGTCGGTAGAAATGGGGCCGTTTGAGGGGAACTGGGCGGACGAGCTGGCCGAAATACTAAACTGCCTTAGCGTAGACGATGTGGCAAGAGGGGAGACATTTCTGGAAGGGGTGAAAGAGTTGTTCTACAACGAAGAGGACGACTTCAGTGATGAGGACGAAGATGATGAGATAGAGGACTGGGACTTCTAAGGAGGGTGACTGGACCTAGGGAAAACGGGTGGCCTGGTATTGTGCAGGAAGGGGAAAAGATGACTAGAGAGGAAAGGCTGATGGAATACACCTTCAAGGGTTGGAAACCAAGACGACTCAGAGGAGGAATAGAGATGCCTATACCGAGAGAAAACGGATGGAGGGGGACCACGTGCGACTGGGTTGGGTTTTAGGTTGCCCGGGAATTATCGTATGTATGGATAGAGCGGATTTGGAACCCGGTAAGGGAAGAGGAAGGTTGGGATGAGATAGCGGAAGGCAGAGTAGAATCAGTCGGGACGGTCGTTCTTTTCGAAGACGGGTGACGCCTATTTTGCACTATGGTGGCAACAGGACAGGACCCGATGTGGCTTATGGGGGATGCAGAGGCGCGAACCCAAAAGGAAGGCAAGAGGTTCGTTAACGAGAGATGGGACGAAGTTAGTAGCAGGGTTGTGATGGGGGGGGATGGAAGGAACTCAAGCCGCCCAGCCTACGAACAACGGCGTGGTGCCCGAGTTCGTGGTCGAGTGGTTTGGGGGTTTCGAGCACATCGTAGACGTGGCCGACTCCATGAAAGAAGCACACATAGAGTGTGCCTGGCTGACTAAGGAATTCTACAGGATCTCGTTAAAATATGGACCCTTCTACGGAGATAAAGCCGGGAAAGTCCTCGTCGTCCTAAGGATAGGCAAGTATGACCGCCTAGAGGTAGACGCGGAGATTTGGGACGCCATAGTTAGCCGGGAGGCGGCGACCGCTCCATCCTACGTGGATGATGTCTTTAAACTGTTTGAGGTACTGTGGTTTGATTAAAGGGACCAGGAGATCGAACACCGGAGAAAGGTCGGAGTATGGAGTACGCATGTAAACTAGGGTGTAACATAAGAAGAGGTGGGGGGAGGCATATACATTAGCTTAGCGGGGCATGCTAGGAGACTAAGAACGAGGGCTTGAACAAGACAGGAAACAATAGGAGGACGGACAGTTGCTGAAAAACGGGTCGTGATCCTCTCTTTGTGGGCTATGCGAAAAAACCTCAAAATAGCAATGGCGGCAGGACGTGTTCGACCGATACGCCAGTCCCCGTACCCCGGACCGCCCTGGAATAATGGCAGAGGGTGGAAAGTGTCTCTTCCGGCAAGCTTCGACTTTCGGGGTTCGACGTGGAATGGCGAGCCGTGACCTTGGGAAGGGACAATGCCTTCATGATGGTAGAACGTCGGTGGACGGGGATGAGATTCGACCGAGGGCCTAGGGATGATTTGTTTTCCGACTTAGAAGTTGTCGGGGTCTTGTATCTACCCGAGATCAGTCGACACTCGCTAGGGGTAGGAATAACGCAAGGTCATGAGCTGATCCCAGTCTTTCGAAGGGTAGCGCAGACATTGACGTGGATAGGCCAATCAATTAGGGGTAGAAGGAACGTGGGCCTACGGACCAGGGTGGAAGTAGGGAGTTGGCAAGAGTTCCGGGCGCCGGCAACCCCGCTGAGATGCCGGGGCCCCCGTTTCATGATAGACCTCATCTTCGGAAGCCTCGCAAGGGCGCAGGATCTGGCAGACTCGGCAATAGTCTGGGTAAACCGCTTCCTGCCCCTAACCATCGGGACATTCTACGACATCGCCGTGGAGTACGGGCTTTTCTGGGAAAACCGGGGCCAGGAATTGCTCGAGGTTATCGATATCCTGAAAATTGGGTTACCATGGTTAGCTCGTGCGGAATACGAACACATAATCCGAAGAGAGATCGAGGTGGGATAAAGTTATCTAGCGGGGGTGGCTCAACTATTCGAGGAGTCTACCGAACCGGAAGGGCCACAAGGACGAGAGCGGGATTAACAGTCGGAGATAAGCCAATAGGGCAAATCGAGCATATTGCGCTACGTACGAGGGCTCACCAACGGAAATAGGGATGGACCTTCGGACCCCGATGATCAAGAACCCGCTGCGAAATAAGGGGGAGGATAGACTCGTAATGATTGTCATGACCCTGGGAGTTGAAAAGGGGATACTGCTCGGGAACTGTTTCCAACAGGATGCCCAACCAGTACTCCTACGCGCCGACGCGGCAAAACAGGGGCACTATAAACGAGCCTGTCGTGAAGGGAACTAAGTTATTCCCTTAGCTCAATAAGGCGGCACGGCCGGCCGCGGCTCCTTAGGGAAGCAATCAGAGAACGGAAATGGGGACGGGCTACTCTCGGGATAAGCTAAGTCAAAGAAACCAGAACCTATGCAGCCAAAAATGCCTCGCGCTGCCTGTGTCATGGGGGATCCTCTGGTGAGGCAGCGCCGTACAAAGTGGGGAGGGACAGAAGGACAAAGAATCGATGAATCCATATGATACCAGGGAAAACAGGAAAGAGATCTCCTCAGGAGGAAGCTTGGCGAGAAGTTGTTAATCTTCAAAGGAGTCCTGGATGTTTGGAGGATCTAGAAAAAGTTTTTGCGGATATCCGCTTGAGCTTGTCGGATTGAGAAGGCGGGAAAGTCATGAGGGCTCCACTAGGGATGAAGCTTAGTTTCCGTGCGCTGCCGTAGGGAAGTTAAAAGCGCAGATAGGAACGCATCACACAGACGCTCTAGTAGACAAAGGTGCGGAAATCACACTCGTAAGGAGAGATGTGGCAACAATTACCGGTTGTGTGGCTAACAAGGAAGTAATGGGGAGCGTCTCGCGGGTGCATTTGTAGTTGGAACCACCAGAACTGCGTCTCGGCGGGCTCCGAGGGACCAGAAGGGATACATGAATTTTAAGGGGGCCAAGGCGTGACAGAGGACCCCAACGCGGTCAAAGAAAGGTATCAACCGGCAGAAACCGGGGCTGCGTAAAACATGCGAACCCAAAGATGGAGGAACAGGAGGATCTGCTAGTCCTTCCGGCTTGTGACACTGGTAGGAGAAACCATCAGAGCAGTAAGATAGGTAGAGGGCGGGGGAACATACAGGGTAGGAAGGACTCTAAGGTGCGAGAGGAAGTGGAAGGACAACCCCGACGAGAAAATAATTAAGCTGATTTGAAGACGGGAACATTTCCAGAGCTAATAGCAATAGGAGAAATAGGAGGGGTAGAGTCTAAAGTAAGTCTCTCCTTCTTTCGGTTGTATGGCGTGCAGGTCTGATACGTTATGGGTGTCACAAGGAACGGTAAGGGCCGAAGAGGCCAACGTGGTCAAACATGCAACATGGATGGTCGGAATCCAAGGGCTCAAGACGACAGGATAAATGTTGGCCGAAAGTTCAACAACAAGGGGGTCGAAGACGATGCGAGGGGGATTTCGGGGAAAGGGATCCATAGCGAGAAAAGATCCGCAGAATCTCAAGGAATAAGGTCCGTCATAGTTGGTAATATGGAAGAGTCACAAATTTCGGAGGGTGGTTTGATGAAGAAAAGGAAGGTGGCGGATACCCTACGAAGACTTAAGGAAATAGAGCAGATGGTAGCAAATTACAAGACAAGTGTGATTGAGGAAATGATAAAAGACGTCGAGACTATGGACGACAATGAGCTACACAAGGAGGAACGGCAAGGGTAGACACAACGAGAGCGCATGATTAGGAAACCCCGTGGATGGGGAACGGGCGGAGATGCGAGGGTAGAACGGGGAGTTCGACCCTCTGAGGAAGAGACCACAAGGGAAGGGAGGGAGCCAAGAGCGGACCATGGAACGGGCCAACAGTCAGAGAAACAATCCTTGACGAACGATGATTATAGTGAACTAGGGAACCTAAGGAAGAAACTGGCAGCATGGCTCAACCAGGGAAAAAGGAGTATCAGAACAAAGAGTCGTCGGAGGAACAACGAAGCATCTCAGAGTCGGGTGGCAACTAAAGACGAAGCGAAAGGAGGACTTGTGGAATCGCATTGGCCAAACAAAGGAGTTAACGTTCAAAGAAAAAGGGTAGGTGATACCCTTGTGGTGGTGCAAGCCCAAGTACCCCGACCCGCGTTGACACCCCAGGAAACTCTCGCTTTAAGACTCGAACAGCAGGCTAGTCGAAGGGATCGCACCGCGGAATCATGTCGATATTGTACTACGGTGAGACACTTCATTAGACATTGCCCGAAGCTTAACCATGGCATCATAAGAAGGCGGTGTTCTAGGACCCTTGAGGGACATATCATGGGTCCTAACTGAGAAAGGATTAACTGGACTTCGCGTGGAGGAATGAGACACATTATAGCGACCTTAAACAACCTGGAATTTTCAGCAATGGAGGACTCAGAGGAGGAAGTAAGCAAGCTTTGTTGGGAACCCACCGGAGATGGAGGCCAGCATCGGACCGGCCTCGTCATGAAAGTGAAAAGGGATGATGGGAACAACTAAAAGACTTGGAAATAGGGAGAGCTGAGAGTGACGGCAGATAGGCTGACACACTGAACGGAGGGGTTGGTTTAGTCATGATGGGCACTCGAAGGAAACAGGGGCGGAGATTGACCATGGATTATGATTCTGGGTCCGGTCTGAAGCTGAGGGTGAAGGAGAGGAAGTAAGCCTAGGAGGAAAAAGCGGAAGAGAAGAGGGAAACACGACTGGACCTCACCAATAAAAGGGCGTCAAGATGAGCAATGCGACATGAGGACGAGAGGTTGTGAGGGTAAGGATGGTCACGAACAAGAAAAGGAAAAACAAAAGGTTTGGGGGGACCCTCACCAAACTATTGGTATCATGAATAGGCAGAGGAAGTAGTCAAACTTGAAGAGGGAGAAGGACCTGAGTTTGATACCTTTAAGGAGACGTCGCAGAGTAGGATGAGGAATTTGGGCAATCGTGCAGTCAGTGGTTTTATCAGTAGGTTGATGAAAAATCTGGGCTATCAAGGTCAGAAGAAAGATGAGGAAAGGCGAGTCGGTCACATTATGGGCTTCCTACGATGATGGAACACTTGAGATGTCCGCATGACGGAAAGGAATAAATTTTCTTGCTCATAAGCTAGGCTGGGATGCGCCCTCGCAATCAAAAGAGCTTGAAGAAGCCAAGAGGCGAGGGGCCAATAAGGAAAGATGAGTCGTGCCAAGAAAAATTGTGTATATAGGATGTATGCGGAA